GAAGAAGTGAATGGACAGAGATACAACTCGACTGTCTCAGAATCACCCCTGCTCTGTCACCCCCAATTCAAAAACTATTTTCTTAAAAAATAATGCAGATTTTAAAATCATGAACTAGACATCAACATCTATTTTACATCTGTTATTCAATATTTTGAAGATTTAAACAAAATTAGTAACATATTATTAATTTAATTAAAATTAGAACGCCTCAAGGTTTGATCACTTTGGAAATATGAGTCTGAGGCTGTATTCCAGAAACTTCTTAAGTCTGAAATCTTATCTGTTTTATCACCATGACAACTTCAGTTAGGACTGAATCCAGGACAGAAGCTGTTACGTTCATGTTTAAGTTCATAATCTTATCATTAACTCCAGATAAGAAAACAGTATCACACAAACATCCTAACTAGACTAAACCATCTAAATACTGAACTAACTTTAAGATAAACTGCAGAGGCGTCTTAACTTCTGTTTTAACTGTCTGTTTCTATCCTTTTATGCAGTGACAGGCAGGATATTTCACAATAACTGGCATAAAGACACATTTATCTACACTGAAAACGGTCCTTTGACTTTTGAGGGTTTTTAATCCAACACCGTTTTACAAATCTCAGACGCTGCAGACTCGATCTCCACCATCCCTCTGATTACCTTTGTGTGTTAATGTTGATGATGAAATATTGGAGCTGAATGTGTGTCTGTTTATTAGGAGGAATAACATTAGCGCGCTCGGCTAAAACATTTGGGAAATGGAGACTGAAACTGGGGAGCAGTGACACTGATAAACAGCAGGGGGCGCTCTCACAGTATTCACAACTTAGTTTATCACACAGTTTTTTTACATCAGTAACAGTAGCTGTTTGGCTAACTAACATGATTACTCAGATGACTTGTTTATGTTTCAGCTATGCACATATCGTCAGTTGCTAGGTAACAGACATGACGGTTGATTGTCGACTTCGATTGAGTAGGTTAAGGTTTCCTAACTGGAGATAAGATGCTGTAAGATAAGATTCTTAAATTAAGATCAGATTTGCGTCTGTAATATAAATTTGTGAAAAATCTTATGTTGACCTGTCAGATCTTAAAAGAAAGTTTCTGTAATACGGTTATTAATTTTATTAGAACGTGATTCTGGAGGTTAATTTAATTATAGCTTCATTCGGAATAGTAATTTTAATAAAACTTAACTCTATTTATTTTTTTCAAAACTTTATTATGGATGTTAATACTATTTGAACATCATTCTTGAAATTAATTTTATTAGAATTTGATTTATTAGAACTGTTCATCATTCCGGACACATCTGTGTTTTTTCGTCCTAAAAATAATCTGAAACCTATGAAGTTGCCTGGGACGTGCATATTCGAATTACTGTATACACTTTTCATGCATTATTCTATACGTGAAAATACCAGAAAATAGATGATTAATGAATTTTACCTTTCGTCCTAACCACAAAATCAACAGACCTACAGAGTCTGAAATAACACAGCAGTGCGGACCACCAGCCCCTCTAAGAATCTGCTCTTATAACCATCCATCTCCGAGTCCAGCTGTAGTGAGATGACCTCTGACCTAGCCTGCGGGGTCACTCACACACACACATACACACACACACACTTCTCTTTAAATGGGGCAACATGTCACACTCGATCCTTAATCAACATGTCCAGAGACGCTACAGCACCGCGGCCCACCCTGAGGGGGCGCTGATGCTCCTCTGGGCTTTTACTCCAAATGCTCAGCTTTAATACTGCACTGCACGGGACACTCAGCTAAATGACCTCAATGCATGATCGTGCCACTTGGGAAAGAGCCAGCAGCTGCCCGAGTGCTGCTTAGAGGGTCAGCAAAAAAAGAATCTCACACAGAAACTGTCTGGATACAAAAAGAGAAACTCATAGAAAAGCTGCACAGTGAACTCAGTGAAGTCAGGGACCAAATCCACACAGCATTTTTCAGTTTGTAGCTACAGTCATATACAAACCCTTGAACACCTTAGTCAATTGATGTTTTGTTAATTTTCTAAGTAGGTTCTCTTGATGGAACTCAAACATGCCACTTTTCTGCCAATTTTAGTGCACAATTTCTGTTTATTTGCCGAGTTTAACGTATCGGGACGAAAGTAAAACATAAAAACTTTTGCACAGGCCACATTTTAGGTTTATGTTCAGCAAATAAGCTTTTACTGTGTGTTAAAATGTGCAGAAGTGTCTTGGGTGTGTTAACATATTTTCACCTATAAAATCAACAATTACATGGAATTTGACCAGGGGCGCCCAAATTTTGCATACAGCTGTATAAGTCATATAAGCTGTTGTTTAGGCAGCCTGTGAATATATTCTTTATTTTATTTAAAAATTTATCCTGAGATAACTTTAGATACAGGATAACTTTAAATACTGTTTTCTTGTATTATTAGGATAATAATAGTAATAATTCTTGTTCTGTTCTTTCAAATAAAAGAATATGATTGGGGCGGGTGGGTTGTGAGCCCCCAAATAGTCAGAAATGACCCCATTAAACCTCAATCGATGGACCAAAAGTGCTTTATTGCTAATCCGTTTATGTTCAACGACTAAATCTTCTCTGACAAAGAAAACTGACATAGAATTTGTTCTGATTTAGTCAAAGTGATTAAATTGTATGTATTATATGCTGAATGAACATCTACTGTGCACACAGTAAAATGTTTGTTGGATACTGTGCACTGTGAGCTCCTGTAACCAAAGCCAAACTCCTCGTATGTGTAAGCATACCTGGCCAATACAGCTTGATTCCGATTTAGATTTTCTGTTTTGTTAAAAATGAGTGACAAAAATTGATTTTCAAAGCATATTTATGTATGATCTCTTCAGTAATATTTAAAGTCTACATCATTAATGATGATAAACGGAAAAAGAAAAAAAGTCGCGAAAAATCGAAGTTTTATCGTGGCTGGGCCACTGCTTATATTTTAGCACCATCAACTAGCACAAGACCGCTTCACAAGTCCCCTCATTTTAGACTCTCAGAAGCGCCCTCTAGTGTCTGATCAAAGATCAGCGAGGGGAAATCCTCCTCTTCAGCCTGGAGGCTCTCAAGGAGACCATATGAAAAGAGACATATTTGTCACTTCAAGTGCAATTAAGGTTGGGCTCCATGATTTAAAATACTACATGAATGTAACTTAAAAATCACTAAAATTAAAGCTGCAATACATCAGATTTTTCTTTTTTGTTAAAATTGGAAGAAGCAGTTTTGCTGAGTCAGGAAAATAAAACAAGCTATAACTTGGTATGCAACAAAAATGGCACATTAAGCTTTTGGATGGTCTAAACAACAAATAATTAGACAGTAAACTAGCAAGAATTAAATAGATGCAGTTAGCATGGTTTAGCTTTTCCTCGATTTCTTTAAACTTGAAGAGAATCTTTTACAGAAAGAAGTCAATTTTGTTCCACTGAGCAATGATGGCTTTAAAGTTGAAAAACACTGCCAACCTAGTTTGTGTCCAATATGAGACCAAATATTCTCTGTAGCGTTTAAAACTGGACTCTGACCAGCCAAAACTACCAGTAACAACCATCAGTCATTTGGGCTTTGCTTATTTTTTTGCATGTAAACGCACTTACCTGCCCTAACCTTAACAGAACAGCTGTAAGCATTACACCAATAATAAATAGCCAAATATTCACCCTAATTATGACTCATCCTCAAGCACAAAGTAATTATCTTTTCACTTTCAAAAGTTCAATTTTTAAAATAATTCTGACCACATTCTGTATGAATCTTGTAGTGAAGTCTAACAGCACTCAGCCTGCAAGCAACAGATGATGCACAGATCTAGGGCCAGTTTTTCAGCCATCTTATAACGAACATTCGTTTTCTCACCGTTAGTTTTCTTGCTCAGATGTTTATTCACTAATGCATGAACCCAAAGTGCATTTACACCTTCTGTGGAAGAGCAGTTAAGTGAGTCTGCTGACAAGCTTTTCTACAAGACTCTATTCTGCAGTGCAGGGTGCCTTTCGTGAGTAAAATGGTGCTGAACTGTAATTTGAAGCAGCATTTCACAGCATGTGTACAAGCAGGACAACACTAAGCAGAGCTACTGCACCTGTCTTATCCAGTTATGTGGCTTTGCCGTTTGCAAAGCTTTCATTTCTGCAAACCTGGCAAGTTACAAGACTCTTAAAGCTGATTTACAAAAGTCAATGAAGATACTAAATGGTTTAAACTGGTTCGAGCCCTTACTTATCACCAAAGCCGCACAATACCAAGTAACTGCCATCATACTGGCCTTCTGAATATTGATATGATGAAATGCTACTATATGCAAATGAGCCTATAACCAATCTCTACATGTTTAAATATGTTTTGAGCATGCAGACCAATCAGTTTCAGATTAGTTTCTGCTCGTTTTTAGGGAATCCAACAAAAGAGGGAAAAAAATGCAGGCTATTATCAGTGTCACCAAGAGTTTAACACATTTTCATAACTGCACTATAATCAGTATGAAATTTCTTCTATATTGTGCAGCCCCACTCATCACCTTATCTAGTGACAAACCATTTGTTATTTTTATTCAAATTATTAAAACTGTAAAAATCTTTCATCTTCAGTGCTAAAGTTGAATTTAAAGACGCATCAGTATGGAAACCGTGGGCCAATAAAGATTCCATATTTCTTGTTCATGCATCAGTAAATATGTAAATATTTTACTCCTAAAAACTTATTTTTATAGGATTACACAGAGTTAAATGACTAAAATGAAACCAATTTAGCCCAGCATCGCCTCAATGTTCTGCTCTTTCAAAGTACTATAGGTGCACCATCAAATATCGGATCAAAATATTTGTAAAATTGAAACATCTGATGCTGATGCATCAGTAAATATGCACTGATACTGGTATGATGCTGATATTGTGCAGCCCTAGTTAAAACTTCAGTACATAGTTTGGCTACTACAAACAAACCTGTTCAATTCAGCTGTAAATAAATGCAGCAGTCAGTCTGTTTACGTATACAACTTTTATTGGCTGATGGAACACCACAAAAAAATCCACTGCCCAGATTAGAACTGGATGACCTGGCCCTGTAACACAGAGAAAGGGGAGAAACATTAGTTAACACATGCAGCATTAAGGCTGATCAGCACATTTTTAGCAATTCTGACTAAGCAGCTCAACATCAAACCTCCTACATAAAACATAACACAGGCCAAAGCGCTCCAACCATGAATCTGTCAGTCTAGTAATGCTATTTCAATATTCCACTCACACCAATGCTCTGAACGGCAATCACCTACAAGGTCCACAAGCATGAACTGAGCACTGAGCACTATATATTGAGTCGTTCTGAAGCATCACATTAAAACTGCATGCCTGCACTGGAACGACGAGGGAATTGTTTGTGCAACAAGCTGAACAGAACTTTGACCTACATACACAAATATACAAAGAGATATTTAGGTGTGTGTCGCTGGAGGAAATGTAAATTTTCTATGTACAGGAATGTTAAATGTCCGGGAACCAAACAACAGGCTTGACCAATATCGTCACCGTGCCAGCAACCTTACCGTACTTTTTATGTTCATAATGGAGTCAGTAGTCGCAACTTAACTGCACATGCATGTTAGACAAAACTCAATTTTAGCTGGGCTTCAACACAGTATCAGAAAACTAAACGTTTCAAACTGTGACTCTGTTGACCTCTTTCATGGAAACCATGGTCAGTGTGTGGCCCTATAAGTGTGAGTGCAGTAAAGAAATGACTGCCACATCTGAATGGGGGTTGCAGACTTACACATTACAGAGAAAGTCCATGTGCCATTAGTCTGTAAGGGGAGTCATTAAAACTTTGTGCACTTCTAGAGCGTCCGCTACGGATGCAAACTTTAGAAGACTTTGCTGGTGAAAAATCCCCCAAAATTCATGGCGATAAGGGATAAAGGGAACGGGAGTAATTCTGAAAAAAATATAAACTGACAAACGATTCTCTTACAGTGGAAGTAAAACAATTAAAAGCCCATAACTAGTTACTTAGAGATCAATTCTGTCTTTAAATTCCTTTTTAAGTGTGCAACGTCGTCTCTCATTAGTACTTCTATTTGCAGCCCACCGGCATCGGAAACAAACGTGATAACGTTGAGCACTTTAGAGCTTTTTTCATGAACGGAAGCCCAAAGTCCATCAGACTGGAGATTCAGGCTTCTACATACTAACATGCTCGACATGTCTGACCATCAGCACCACCTTGTGGCTAAATTAAAAACTGCTGATTTTTCAATGGTCCATAAAATACTTTAGGCATCTGATTTATAATATGAATGGGGAAATCTGAGACATTCAAAAACAACCTACTGGTTGTTTAAAAATAAGCTAAAAGCACGCAAAACAACAGGCAAAAATGGTGCTATGTACCAGGTAACAGGGTTTACCCCAGTCCTCAGGAACCTTTCATTCTGAAAACTTAACCTAACCCCACTTCTAGTACACCTGAATCAGGTGAAAATCACCTACCTAAATGACAGGTGTTGGGATGCATCACAAAACAATCTGTAGATTCTAGTAAGTTTGAACCAAAAAAAAAAAAACTCCAGCACCCAAAAGGAAAACGCTTTGGAATTTATTCAGCCACAGATTAAGTCTAGTCCAAATATTAGAAGGTTAAAATCAAAGACTAATTTTACATGAAAACATGCACATTCACAGTACATTGGCTAAATTTATATCACCCCCAACTTTGACCATCAGTTGAAATGAAGATTCATAAAATCCAACCACTTCCCTGCTCAACATTTACATTATGGTGTAAACCCCAATGATACCAAACCTCCTGACTTCAATTAGTGCAAATTTGATGACAAACCAATGATCACAAAACCAAACCCACTTCACTACCACACTGCGCTCCTCTAACATTAACGCAGGGTCTTCAAACACTGCTTGGTTTAGAGTGTTTTCTGCTCTAACACATTGCAGAATACGTTAAATAAGCACATGAATGTGTCCTGTTTGGAGGACTTCACATCACCATGTTCCTTGTAAGCACCAAGATTCTGAGTATCTAATTTTTACCTAGCTGTGTTTGTTTTGGGAACAACCACACTTATTACTGATTTGGTGTTACACATCATTGCAGGGGGGAATGTTTAATGTTAAATAATCCTCCAAATAAATTATACTACAACTAAAAAAAAGCAACCAAGGGACCTTTGCAACTACTTTGAACTGGAAATGCATTAACATTATTGACAGGATGGAGCACTTGTGACAGACTTGTGACAGTTTTCACTGTCTACTAAAATCTCACTTAAATCTATGACTCCCTGGCAAACCAAACAAAAATTAAGAATTCCAGACGGCTGGACAGTTTATGACGAGCGTATGGAAAAATCTTACCTTTCTCTTCTTGTCTCCTCCCAACTCGAAGTGTTTGCACCTCTTAATGGCCAGCATCCTCTTGGAGCGGCAGTTTGGCTCCACGCACTCCAGCCTCAGCACAATCTTCTTTGTGGTTTTAGCCTACAGCGAGGAAAAAAGCTCTTTACATTAACAATAACACCACAGTGAGAAATGGAAAAATAAACGAAACCGTGAGCCAGCGTCATCTATGCTGAATTTCAGGTTTAGGAGCATTGATTAGCATTAATCCTTCAACTTTATCTACCACAAAACGCTGGTGTCCCTGCTGCCTAGCAGTTTGGATCATTATTATTTATTTTTACACATTATTTTTCAAATATATACAGTGTCCAACACAGACTGCCTTGAAAGAGCACTTTGAAACATACAAAACTAAATAAAAGACTGTTTCCTTACAGGAATCTTGGGTTCTCTCTGGAGAACAGACATTTCGCACTGGAATTGTGACACTAACGTAGCTAAGAAGTAACTGAAATCTGCGACATCCTAATTCTTCTTGGGCAAGAGATTCCCCATCACATTTGCCTCATAGCTCCACTTCAAAACTAAAAAACTTCAGACGCCAAAAGTTTTGGATGAATAACTATTTTAAAGAAAATGTTCACAAAGTAAACCATTTACCCCTTTACCCAAAATGTTGTTCACCAACAAAGACATGTTTGCTTCTTCTATGTTGCAGTTGAACTGCAAGGTATTACAGTAGAAAAACACATCACGAAAAAAAATTGGGGTGACAGCCCTGCATTACTTGTCAGCCTTCTAATAAAATTGCAAAACTAAAGAAGCAAACTCAAGACATTGAACACGTTTTGGCTGATGGACCACATTTGGGTAAAAAGAAATGCATTTTTATTTGTTTTTTACTTCTGCTGAACCAGTCTCTTGCAGGAGAATTACACAGATTTTTCACACTTAAGTAGCATAATTCAATTGAGACAAAGTAATTCAGACTGGTTTGAAGTAAAACTGTTCACTGTAGAGAAAGTTACCAACTAATTTCTTTACACTGGTGGTGACAGGAGCCAGGAATCACAATGTTTACAGTAAATAAACATTTTATTTACTATCCAAAACCACCAGTGAACCTACATGCGTGTTCTTATATGGTATTGATGGTAAAATTGTGGAAATTCTGGAAAAAAATTCTTCGTGGACTATTTTGCCTTATAACACCTTGCATGTACCTCTCCACCATGAATGGACATAAAAGTACACAAAACTACCATAAAACAATACTAGACATCAAACAGCATGTTTATAACAATTTTGAGTCACGTCTTTGTGATGTAGCTTTTAGAGACAAACCTTTCAGATGTCCGATTCCTATCACCACCACTGAACAATCCTACTTGGCAACTTTCTCTACAATGAAGCATTTCACACCAAACCACTCTGAATTACTTTGTTTACATCTTTGTACTTTATTATGCAGAAATTCACTCAATTTCACAAAGCAGCCCCACCTCCAAAAGTAACATCATGGGTGCCCAAACTTAATCCTGGAGATCTACTACTCAGCAGAGTTTAGCACCAACTCTAATCTAACACACTGATCCAGGTAATATAGGCCTTCAGAAATATCTGAATATGAGAGCCAAGCGTGTCTGATCTGAAATCTCCAGGACCAGGACTGAGCATCCTTGGTCCACACAAAACCATGTGCTCCACCATCCATGTTCGCCACATTCCTACCTTTTTCCTGAAAATAGGCTTTGTTTGTCCACCGTAACCGCTCTGCTTTCTGTCATATCGCCTCTTACCTGAAACAAACATGCAAATAAAAGTTAATACAATCTTCCACTTCCTCCATCTTCCAGCACATGGCACTACACTTAGTTATTTTCAGTCATAGTGAACACTTACCCTGGGCATACAGGGAGTCCTTGCCCTTCTTGTACTGGGTGACTTTGTGAGGCTGGTGCTTCTTGCACTTTTTGCAGTAAGTCCTGCGGGTTTTCGGTACGTTCACCTGGAAAAAACACCAAACAAGAGCGGCTTAGCGAATTTCACCTCTTTCTGGATGGCTCCGTTTAGAGCCCAACGTAACGACGGCCCGTTTAAACACAAAAACACGGAGAAACACGAAACGTATGCTGATATTCTGCTACACTTCACTCGGCGTGGCGCTGAATGTACATTAGCCGCTAACAGGCCAACGTTAGCATAGCATGACAGTAAATGAATCAAAGCACAGATTTTGCAGCATTAAACACCTAAAAACGGCCGCGGACACTCGACTCTGATCACTTTACATGAGAACCGTAATAAAACACCTGGTTCTCCTGGTTTTACTGCACATCAGTTGACGGAAAGTTGTGTGTCGAGCTAACACTTCTGGTACCGGCGAAAATGAGTTTAATTAACAAATTATACAGTAAATCAATCAAATAATGCGACAACATCAGAGCCGATGTGTTGTAGATTCGTATTTAAGGGGTTGACAGGAAAGAGAGTTGTGACATTTAGAGGATTAAATCGGATTTTTGGATGAAATTGTTCTCCTGAGTTTTACATACCATGGCTGCCCTCGTAGCGCAGGAGCAAAGAGGCCGCGCATGCGCAGCGCCGGGGTTTAGTGCACGGAGGGGCGCAGCTCGGCGGTGCTGCCACCCGGCGGTCAAAGCCAGGAACGACAACTGAAAATGTAACTACAACTCAAGGTCTCAAATGATCAAAGTATAAACAATAATTATACATCAAATTATAAGAGCCGCGGAGGAACACAGAACCGCCACAAATTCAAAATCAGCGCGAGCGCCGACCAACGGACATTTATCTCAGACTCAGCGCTGCTAATCAACCGTCCACAAGCTAATGTTAGCTTACATTTCACTACATTCATGATTTACAAGTCTGGAGTCTCCTAAATCACGTTATGTTCAGTAATGTGAGCGGATCATTGGTATTTTGTAAGTTATATCCAGTGGTGGACAGTAACGAAGTAAATGTAGTTCGTTTCTGTACTTAAGTAGTTTTTGTGTATCTGTACTTCACTGAAGTATTTCCATTTCAGGCGACTTTTTACTTTCACTCCACTACATTTCAAAGTCAAATATCTTACTTTTTCAGGGCACAGGGGTCACTTTGTTCTGAGCTTGTTTTGACCTGTTGGTCATACCAACCCAGTGCAATCATACCGTTGAACGTCAGTGCAGCAGTGTAAAATTTGTGTCTATTCCAACATAAATGATGAACTAACCTAACTTTGCGTAAATAGACCACATTATAGAAATATGTACACATATGCAGTTGTGACTGATGTGTCTTTTTTCTGAATTTATACAAACACTTTCATTTTATAGTAAATTTGTTTTGGCTAGTTTATGTTTATGAACAGAGACCAGTCTGCAGTTTAGTAAAGGAAAACTCATTTGTGAATCTGAGTTTAAAGATTTTATTAAACTTAAACTTGTAACTAATTTGCAAATAAATCTTTGCTTGTTTGCAAAAAGTGATTTCAGAGCCACTCAGTTCTACCTAATGGAAACTGTTTGCCTTCAGTGTTTTGTGCTTATGATAATTTTAATAGACGTCAGCGTCACTAATTAATGACATTCTATTAAAAGACTGGTTTACCAAGAGTAACACTGGAGTATTTTCAACCAAAATGAGTTAATGAAGCAGAGTCTTGTTACTGAAATGATAATAGGACATTAGAGTCATAATTAATCTTTTAGTACTTTTTACTTTCAATACTTAAGTACATTTGAAGGCAAATACTTTTGTACTTTTACTCAAGTGGAGGTCTAAAGGGAGGAACTTCTACTTTTACTGGAGGAATATTTTACCTTGGGTATCTCTACTTTAACTCAAGTACATGATTTATGTACTTCGTCCACTACTGGTTATACCAAAGTTTACTGGTTATACACTCTAACTCTCTGTAAGGAAAGGGTTAGCTAGCCAGATAAGACATAAACATATTAGCTAAAGTTAACATTACAGAGTTAGCTAAGAAAATGCTGTTAGTACGTTTTGCCTACATCTTTGATTAAAAATAGGCTTAGATTAGCTTAAAAGCACCTAATGAATAATTAAAACACACAAGTGTGCCTCACTGGTACACAGCCTAAAAGATAAGTTATATTATATGCTATATAATAGTCACAATTCGAATCTTTCCTCACTAAATTCTAGGTGTACAAGGAATTTGTCTTGGTGCAGGTGTTAACGTAAAATTGAATCCAATAAAATAAATATAGAAGAGATTAGGGCTGGGCAATATGAAAGTACACATTGTTGTTGTGATTAATTATGTCACAATATAATACAATATGCTGTTCTGAACATGTGGATTCGTCAGTACCTGACCAGCTGCAGGTTTCATTATAAAGACAGCAACCGTTTAACTGATTTAGTGCAACACAGTAAGGCAAATATTGCATAAAAATAATTGTATTCACAGTTTTTAATAGTATTTTTTTAAAAAGTAGCACCACTGGGTTTTTTTCTCAGTTCCAACTGATCAGATGTCTGAAAAAATAAATATTGTGACTAGTTGTGTATTGTGAAAATTCCTAAATTATTGTAATGTCATACTTTTGCCATATTGCCCACGTCTACAAAAGATGCACTACGGATAAAACATATAATAGACATTACACAAATAATCTGCAAGTAAACGGGATGTGCAATGGGAGACAAGTGCAGCTACAATCAAGTACTGAGGCATATATATGAACAGTGTATTGTAAATGTTACTGTATAGTGGGTAACACCTCAGGCCTACTTGCTGTAGAACGGGGTTCGATCCTCTGTCTGGGCACCTTATAGTATACCAATAAGAGTGCCTTGAGCAAGACTCTGAATAAGAGCGTCTGCCAAATGCCGTAAATGCATTGTCACAAGTTCACGTCCGTATGAACACTCACTACCATAGAGGAAAGTGGGAAAGGTTCTTATTCAGAAGGATTGTGGCATGGGAATAAAAAAATGTTCAGCTACCTGAATTGTAAGAGTTAAGCTAAGAATTTTCATCATTTTGTTTTGTAGGTGTTTCACAGGTCCTGTTGGCAGAACCTAGCGCTCATGAAGGACCAGAGGAAGAACAGCTCGAAGTGTACAAAGCAAAGGATGAGCTGAAGTCTCAAACTGGAAACTTGCTAGGTGTACCAACCAGGAAGGTGTGTCTAATAATTTGGACTGCAGGGCCTTTCTGACCCAGCGCTAGCATCTCCATCTCCACCTGCCTCACTGCTTTCCTCAATGTCACTCTTCATTTAACAGACCAAATTAATATATCAGATCATATTCGCATGTAAATCCTCCATTAAAAGTTATTTACAAGTGATGACAGTTGGAAATAATGTGTGATGCTCACAACTCCAGCTCTCTGATTCAGGTCAGTGGAGAGCACAGCAGAAGGTCTGGGTTGGTGGTGATTTTATTTCTCAGCTGTAGTTCTGCTGTAATGCGGCAGAGATCCTCACAGAGACTGCAGCTCTCTTACAAGCTGGTTATTTTATCTATTACACTAAATGGCTATGCTTCCTGACTTTTTTCTAACTCCAACAAACAGTTCTGTTTTCTCTTTCTTCCTCCCTTTTCTCCCTCTCTTTCTCCGCCCCCTCTCTATGACACTAGGGACCAGGAAGTCCCTCCTATTCAGTTCAGAGTAAATAAAACTGATCTCAGAGAGCTGCTCTCTCTCAGTGTAGAAGTGCAGGAAAATGGCGGAGGCCAGTATTTCAGTAGATCACGACCAGTTCAGCTGTCCAGTCTGTCTGGATCTGCTGAAGGATCCAGTGTCTCTTCCTTGTGGACACAGTTTCTGTATGGTGTGTATTAATGGCTGCTGGGATCAGGAGGATCAGAGGGGGGTCTACAGCTGCCCCCAGTGCAGACAGACTTTCACTCCAAGGCCTGTTTTAAGCAGAAACAACATGCTGGCTGAAGTGGTGGAGAAACTGAAGAAGACAGAACTCCGAGCTGCTTCTGCTGCTCCCCGTTACGCTGGACCTGGAGATGTGGAGTGTGATTTCAGCCAAGACATGTTTGGTGTCTGAAACTTCTCTTCGCACTGGAGCTCAGAGGCCAATGTAGCTCACAAGTAATGAAAGCTTCTACCCACCAATTAGCATCGTGTAAACTGCCTGTCTGAATCATCACACAGTCAAACCACACCAAGTTTTTATTTAATTTCAAACAGAAATGCCTGTGAGATTTCTGACACTAATATCTACAAAAATGACCAAAAGTATGCAGAGTCTAAAACAGCAACAGCAGCAATCTTGAAGATAATTTTGTTCATCCATTTTTCTAGATAACAGTGAGTGTGTTTACACGCCCACCAGTAATATGATCATTATCGATTATGACAGTTGCCTGGGAAACAGTGAACATTAAACACTTATTTTAATGCTACAGGCCACAAATTACTGTATTATGTACAATTTGGAGCCACAAAAACTGGCAAATAAAAAAGTAAAGAGACTCCATGATAAAAACAAAACTGCATCAAGAAGTTTGAATTTTGCATCACATGCTGCATTTTGGTGGTTTTATTGGTGAGTTGCTAAGTGATGGAAGAGGTGCACATTGTGTATTTAGTAAGAAATCTGATTATTGCCTTGTGTAGATGTGGATGTTTCTCATTATCAAATTACTGAAGTATTTATGAACATGTTGGAATGGACTATTGCCAAAATCTAATTTTCTGCAGTTACCAGATTATTACTTTCTGGTGGTGTCTCTAGCACAGAAAGCCTGGTGGGGCATAATAAACCGTAGGGGCAGCAGCCGGCTTGTCAATTAAACTGCACACAAACCTGATCCAAACACAAACACACTCCATCAATGAAATCACAAATTCAGAAATTAACGTAACGTAGTGCAGGAGTTAGTGGAAGTGGAGACACGAATATGAATGATATGATAACGACATTAGATCTCACAAAACCTTGTTATACAGCATCACATTACAAATCCACAGTTATCTAGCAGCAAACAATCATTATGGTCTGCAAATAAATATCCAAAGCAACATATCAGAGTAGGGAACACTTTCTGGGCATCAGGAATAACACGCCTATACGGCAGAAAAGATGCACAATGATCTTTAATCTGGGCAAACTTGCCAAAAGGTTTTCTCTCAAAGTCCACCAATCCATGAATGAATTCAGGCAAGCAGAAGAGTGTGTTTAGCTACACTCGTAGTGAGCCACATACTCAGTGTGTCATACAGTGTCAGAAACCACACAAACAAGAAGATTTAGCATTACTTGATGTGATTTGTGGACAATTTGTGTAAATTTCTCCATCTGGTGTGTTCTTGTCCTAACAGCGCTGTGCTCAGTCAGCAGTGGAGGACAGTGAGAGGATCTTTACTGAACTGATCCACTCCATTGAGAAAAAGCGCTCTGAGGTAACAGAGCTGATCAGAGCTCAGGAGGAGGCTGAACTGAGTGGAGCTGAAGAACTCCTGGAGAAACTGGAGCAGGAGATCGCTGATCTAAAGAGGAGACACACTGAGCTGGAGCAGCTTTCACACACAGAGGATCACATCCATTTCCTCCAGGTAACAATCACTCATCTACAGAGGAACCTGCTCCTCATCCAGCTTCTAAAACTCCTCTCAGCAAAAGTTCATTAAGGCAGCAGTAAATCTACC